GATGGGCTACTCACCTCTCTCTGTCTGACTGCATCCCATGCATTTTCAAACGTACACACAAGTACAGGAATATCTGGACCACGGCCAATCAGGGGGGGGCAGGATCCGCCCTTCACTATCTCTGATTGGTTTAGACCACGATATGGGCCTAATGTGTGTCTGTTGTTGAACAACAGGGAGACTTTAAGAGTCACGGAGTTTCGTTTTTTTTCCCCCTCGAAAGGCTGGTCGCACCGGTGCAACCTTTGATTTTTTTTAGTCGCACCATTGAGAAATTAGGTCGCACGTGCGACCAAATTGGTCGCACTCTAGAGCCCTGTGGATACATTGATGGCGAGCCGAATCCCAATAAATTTAATCTATACAACTGCAAGCAGAGAACTCCTTTGTAAATTCATTTGGATTTTACCATATACATATCCCATCCCATTTTACAGTGCGATCAGAACATCTTTATCATAGAGGTGGTGAGGAGGTTGAATTACCAGTCATTGCAACAGAGTACTTGAGAGGAATTTTGAAATAATTTCAAGGGATCTGATGATTTATTTGTATACGTTTTTCCACTACCTGGGTAGCCAGATTATAATTTCTTTTGCTTTGCATTAATTATAGTGAATTAGTGTGTTATTCCTGTGCATTTAGTTTCTCTGGCTTCTTAGTTGAATTTTAAATCTTCTGATTGGCCCAATACAACATTATTATTATTATTTTCTATTCACTCAAAACAAGCAAATGTTACACGTGTTCTACTGTTTCCAAATTACCTCTGTTTGCAAAGCAACATCCACAAAAAGATCAAATGTATTACAGGCTGCTTTGCAGGTCAAACATTTCTAGGGCTGCCACAATAAGTCAATGGAGTTGATGACATTGATGCTGTATAAAATCAAAATGTGTGGCACACACAAGGATTTTGCGGTAGTTGGTGTCTCTAGTACATTACAATACAACAAAAAAGTACAGATTAAATACAATATAAAAGACATCTTATTTAGGCAGACAATGTACAGAAAGTGCAATCAACATATAAGGTACAAAGTGTATATCTTTGTACAATTCAACATACTGGTTTGCACAGAGACATTTATGTACTGTAGAAACTCATGAGAATCTTTCTGCCTTCCCAAGTGGAAATCCACTGCGATTCCTGCAGCAAAATCCAAACCCCAGAAAAAGTCAGGCTAATGCAATAATAAGAAACTGATATGCACAGTTATGTCACATCACACAGGGGTGTCCATCCAGGCACAGCTGTAACACTCACGTTTCAGCTCTTGGTTTTATGATGTTTCCAGAACTGCCAAAGACTTGAAAGATATCATCCTGCATAATACACATCATACTGGAGCTGGGTTTGTGACCTGCAGGACGATCAAAGGAAGAAGGTGCCCACCCTGGGCACTATCTGGATATGTGGGAAGTAAGGCAGAGAGCATGGATGGATGGATCAGAACATGCATAGACACATTAATGGACAAGCACAATAATTAAAAATGGCATGTACAGCAGCTCCAGCAACCATAGTTACGGTGTATTATGTGTTAGGTTGGGTGTAAGCTTAACTGTAGTAATTGGTCTTGAGTCGAAATCTAAAGACTGAGACCAATTCCACATCCTGAACATAGGCTGGTAAACCATTCCACAATATAGGGGCTCTGTTGCAGAATGCTTTACCTCCAGCTGTCATTTTATTTATATGTGGAATGACAAGGAAACCTGCATTCTGTGATCTGAATGGAAAATCATCTCAAGTTAATAAGGTTGCCACTCGTCCTTTATAATACGGGACAATCCTGTATTGGAATATGCCACGTCCCGTATTGTACAGGATGATGGTGGCAACCCTAGTTAAGAACCAAAATAAATTTTAAAAAGCTACAGTGAGAACCAAGGGAGAGAATTCAGAATGCCATATATTCTTAACGAATATAATTATGTACTGTAAGGTATCTGGACCGCTATAGTACAATATGTTATTTCACTTGGTGCAGAAACAGTGACTGCATTTCTGTGGTGGCTAAACTGCCTGCATTTTCATTCTAATATAATGTTTGAGGACTGACATCCCATCCTATGGAAGCAGCTGCAAGATGGTTGAATGGCTGATGGAATGTTGTAGGATTGGAATTTTTTAAGGATAATTTGTATAATTAGATGTTATCAAACCAATATTACTGAGGCTTCTCAGGATTATTAAAATATTCATTATTATGAAATAAATTCAACCATAAAATATAGTAAGAACTACAGTATATAACTTGTCAATAATACAATATATGATTAATATAATAAAGTGTAATATATAGCCATGCAGTATGGAGCACACTCAGCACAGTTGCTTCACATTTCCTGGGTTGGGGTTCAGATCTCACTCCTGTGTTGTCTAGGATTTCTCCAATGGTCCAAAAGCATTTTGTTATATGATTTTCTGTCTTTAAATTGCCCATAGTGTGTGAATGTGTGCCGTGCCATCAGCACAACGCTACAATTCATTTGCAGGGCAGATCTGTCAAAGCAGCTTGAAGATAGATATATTTTCAATTTATTCATCATAACTTTTTCCCTTCAAAACAGTAACTAATACAGTGGTCAAAACCACTTATGCACAACATAATTCCTCTTTACTGCCACCAGAGGGTGTATAAGCCCTTTCTCTGC